GAAGTGTGTCAGCCATGATACCTCAAAGTCAGGGGAAGGAGCTGAGGAAGTGATGCAGCAGCCTTGCTGAGGTACAGAAGGGGAGGGAGGATTTAGATAAACAGAATGTGGGAAAAGGGAAATCTTTAATTTATTCCCTAGGATACTGGAGGCAAATGTGGCAGTGGTGCCAAAAGACTGTGACAACACATTGTGGATATGTCAGCTATGTCTCCTAGCTGGCATGTCTGTAAGTGCTAGTGCATGATGAGACAAGTACTGTTAATTGTGCTGATGTGTAGGAGCCCCACCATAGCCCAGGAGAGACACAGTGCCAGGCCCTGTTCAGAGGGAGAAAAACAGAGTAGTCGGTTCCCAAGAGAACTAACCATGATGCTTTTCTGCCTGAAAGGAAACATTTGACATATTAAATCACCAAGGTAGATTTACCTTGGCAGAGTGGTTCTTCCTGATGATGTGTTGGTTAGCTTGTATTATTTAATCAGATCAGGCAACAGTCAGCATGGCTGACAAATGACAAAAATATTGACGAAGAGCTGAAAAATCTGGTATGCTTCAGGGCTGCTTAGCATCATTACAGAACCAGAAAGAGCCATGACAGAGAAGTATTTCCAGGCCACTGCACTGAGAGCCATTGGTCCTTACCTTTGAAGGTCTCCAAACGTGAAAGCTGTATTGCTCCTCCTTCCTTTTTGTAACTGGGAACTTTGTGAAATTGCGAAGTAAGAGACATCATGTTTTTCATGTAAGCCTTCCAGACTCATCTTTCTCAGATGAGTACCTAACGCTCCCCCTTGCCTGCAGTGATCAGATTCTTCATGCAGTCTTTTTTGCTGATTCAAGATATCCTTATTGTGGATCAGATGGGATGAGAGCCACAGCAATGTCCCTTGTGATGGAGCAGATGCACAGATGGCACTAGCTCTCCAAGGTTCTTAGTTGAGGTTTGAAGAACACAGCCTGTCTTGTCCAGTGCCCCACTGGAGGATTACCAGCCTGCTGTCCCAGCCAGAGCTAGTCTGTTCTGTGCAAGAAGCACAGGAGGCTGCAGCCAAAGTTCTGTCTTTCCTGTGTTCTCCCACTTGATACAAGCCCAGTGCAACCAATTCCCATTTTGAGATCCTGTTCTCATCGTCCTAGGGCTAATTCTTTCTTCAGAAGAAAATAGAAGGAGCTGCTGTTTGCTAGGCAAATCCAGCTACAGGGGCTTATGAATTCATACATGGAGTTTCTCCCATGTGCCAGAAAGTTTCTCCAACCTTGCTGGAAATCTCAGCAGGGTCTGATGTAGCATCCTTGGAGCATCTGCCCTTTCTCTAAGTCTCCAAAGGATCTGGCTGCTGGGACAGCAGCAGGGGTTATGAGTGCTCAGGAGTCGACTGAAAAGCAGCCTGAAAAGTGTCAGGATCAGCCTTGCAGCCTGTAGGTAGATCACTTAGGCAGCTGCGGGCAAAACTTGGTGTTACTTAGATGCTTTTCTTCTCTTTTCATCTTTTGGTAAAACTAGACTTTTGTAGGAATCATCTATGAAGGGAGCCTGCACAATGGCATTTCTGTCTGGGTATGTTTCTTGTCTCTAGTGTAGTGCTTTACCTTTGTTTCTAACACCATCCAGAAAGTTAATGGCATATGAAATTGGAACATTAATAACATTTCTTTTGCTCTGGGCCTGGAGAAGAAAAGAGTCTGGCATTATGTGGATGGATTATATGGATCAACCTTTAATTTTGTTTGTTTTGCAGTCTGGTAGCCAGAAGAGCGAGCTTGTTTCTCTTTGGGTAATTATTAAATGAATCTGCTTCTGTATAAATTAACTTTCCAGGTCTGCTATGCCCTGAAACCTCTCCCTCTTAGAGCAGCAGCCTCTGGGTGAGGGCAGAATCTGCTGTAGTTAATGAGGTCTGAGCAGCTGTATGCTGCTACCTCTGTTTTTCTTACACTGGCTCAATGTGGGTGACAGAGCTTCTGTCTGGCTCTCCGTATACATTCCCCATCAGGTGCCTACTGCTAGCTTTGGGTAAACTCCCTTGTTCCATGGATGGAGGGCATCCTGCCGTGGACACCCAAATCCTGGCCCTAGCATATGCACTTGTTTTCAAATGATGGCAAACCAGCGGAGAACTATATTGTGAGAGTTGTGTACAGGTATAACCTTTGTTTTACATTCACATCTTTTCAGTAAGGTTAAGGAAGTACTTTTGTGATTAGTGAGTGTGATTTGCTGAGTTAAGGGGAAAAATAAAGGAAACATACTGCCACCTGATGACCTACTGGCCTCCCTCTGAAAACAAACAAGCAAACAAATAAACCAAAACCTGCATCACCTGAGGCCGCTCAGGCCTCTCCATTTCTTTACGTGCTCCCTCTCTCCCTCCAGTTTGGAGTGGGATTTCTTGCTCACTGGTCTGCAGTACTTGCTGGTGAGTACAGAAGTATTTTCTGTTCTCTAAAGCATGAGTAATAACAGAGAAAATTAATATCAGGAGAAGTTCCTCAGGATGCTGATCATGCCATTTAGGAAAACATAACTTCTTGAGATGCAGGCTTAGCTTTCCAACGCAGAGAAGGCAAAAGAGAGTGGTAATGTAGTCACAGAGCTGAGAAGAAACCAAAAGCCAGGTATTAGGGACTAATACAGTAAAGCCCTCTCAACTGGCTAATGAGGTCCATGGCGCGGTCCATGGCCTATAGTGTTTAAGTAGGTGGAATTTTAATAATTTTATACCCGGTCACGGCCCCTCCATTGCATCCTTGATCTCTGTATTCTCTTTTCTGTTGTTGTGTTCAAGTGCATCTTAAAACGCAGCTCAATTAGTTTGGTGAAAATTGGAATAAAGTAAAATTTATGGTTTTAAAAAGTAGCCAATTTGACACATAATAAGCAGCTAGCTTGTCAGGCATAGCTATAAAATGTTGTTAAGACATCAGTGTGGAAGAAGAAACTGTGTATTAAGTTTCTGACAGCTGGATTCATGTTTACAGCTTTCAGAAACCCAACTGCTTTATAAAAAGCATTATAATTTCTGTAGAACAAAGAAATATTACTTCAGCATTCATCTGTGCCAACAAAGAATGCTTTTCAATGCTTTCTCTCAATTCCTAAAAAAAAAAATTATTTCCATTCAAGGAAGCACAAGATTTTGAATAAACATTATGCTAGACGGAGCTACTAGAAGACCAGTAAAGAAAAAGCTTTCTAGAGCTGAGCTAAATTTCTTAACATTATAAATTTATTAAAATTCTAAAAATGCACTCCTGGTCCTGATATTATTGATGGTGTGACACTAATTCACTGAAAAACTTATCTGCAAAACAGTTGGTGGCTGAGTTGCAATGATGGTGATGGTGTGATTGTGAACCCCTTTTACCTGATTCCTTAATGTTTAGCGCATTTGCCCAGGACTGAGGAAACATTGAACTGAGAGATTAAACCCAAATACTCAAGAGCCCTATGTTGGGGTAGAGCTTTTCCGGTACCTATTGCTGACCCTATTCTCCTCTGAGTGAACTAGTTGTAAACCATCTTCCTCTGTGTGAATGAGTGTAGTAGGAGAGGGACAAACCTGCTTCTGAGGTTCAGAGGGTCCCTTCTCTGCTGCTGATGTTTTCCATATTAATATACAAGTTGCAACAACTCTAACAGGAACGGTTACAGAGGAACGTCAAATGATCCCTAACCCATGACCTGAGGTACTTGTCTGGGCTGGAGTAGGCCCGGGCATGAGTTCAGTTTCTACCAGGCTCCCAGTGCTCTAAGTTTAATTGCCCGTATAGTTAATTGTGTGTACTAAATAATGACCTGGGAAGTGGCGATGGGGATTTTGTTCTCTGGCAAACGGGGAAACAAACCTAAAACTATCAGAACTTGAACAATTTCCCCAAGCACTTAGCATCCCCAGTGATATTTTTGTAGTTCATTGTTAAGGTAAAGGAGAAACTCAGCTTTCATTTTGTTTCTTTTTCTTATGAGTACCCTCAAATGGAATATATAAATTTTTGTTGAATGGAAGGTCTCACATCAATTTTAGAATATTCTTACATACCTGTAAAATCCTTTGATTTGGATTTGATGAATTTGTAGGAACCTGTCTCATCCTTTTAAATTCAATTTGATCTGGACCAGTGGCCTCAAATTATTATGGTTCAGATATTGAACTCTGAAGAATCACTTTGTCGTAGGCCCATATCAGTTCCCTTCTATCAATTTAGCAGAATGGAAATGTCAGAGCCTGTGAAGCCCATTACTGATTTGGAGATACTTTTGTGTCTTCAGCCAGTATTTTCTGTAGAGGGGTGCAGAATTGCACTGACACTGGCATTTACACATGGATTGTGGAACCCTGCATCTCAGTTGAAGAGTATAATCTACCAACACCTGCCCAAATTGGGCGTTTCCTGGGTAATCAAGCAATTTTCATGTAAGTAATTTTGCAATACCAGTATTTTCAACTCTATAGACAAATAGTATGTGAGAGACAGGACTGTAATTTAGCAGAGAGCAGCAGTGGGTGAGATTTTCTGTGAATTGCATGTACAGTGTGATTTTATGTAGGGGATCCCATTTTTCAGTTAATTTTTAAAAGACTGAATGAAAAGTTGGCATCATTATTTTGATTAGACTACATAAATATTTTTTTTACTCTAGTTAAAAGAACAACTCAACTATAGTATGTTTGCCTGGGTTGATTTTTATTGTCTCTCTTCAAATGCTTTCTGGAGGAACCAAAAATATAAGTGTCCCTTTCTTTCTCCTCCTTTATCCTTATCCAATCTCTCCCTAACAGTATTGCTCTGCACATTGTACATTGTAGCTCATCACAGCAAATCTTGACTGTAGGAGATGAAAAAGAAAATTACTGTGCCTTTTAAATCTGGGCAGAGGAGGCATTTTGGGTATTGTGGTTTTCTGGGGTATTTACAGAGTTACTTTTTTAATAAACAGATGTGTTATCCTTAAGTGTATGGATGTTGTACTAAACTTTGGCTCCTTCTTTTAACAGGCTGTGAAAGAAGAGACCTCTTTTGTAAATCCCAGTAAGACCTCCAGCCTGCAGGACCCTAATGTAAGGTCTGTTGCTTCTTGTCCGTAGGGAAAACATCAAATAAATACATGATATAGTGAGGCATTTTCCAAACGTTGTCTCAGAAAGGTGTTACAGGTCAATTTGCTCATTCCCAAGTTGCTATGTAAAGTTCACAAAGCAATGACCTGAGGAGAAGATGTCTGTCAGAAGGGTGTTTATTTTATGTATATATATCGGATATAGTTGAAGAATTAGTAAAAGCTCAACTTTAAAATTCAGACTGAGTGTATATACTTAAACAATTGATAAAAACTCAAGGCAAAAAATCAGGTCTAGTGACCAATGGAAAAACTTATATAAAAATTAGTCAATTTTGGTAACTTTTGTATCAGAAATGTGATGGGTGTCCACACTGGAATATCCTTTTGTTTGTGTTTTTCTGTTTTGTTTTGTTTTGTTTTGTTTTTGGTTTGGTTTTGGTTTTTTTTTTCAGAAGAGAAGGCATTTGGTATACAGCCTTCAGAAAAATGGCTCATTTGCAGGCAGTGGTGACTACTTTGTATTATACTATTCTGTTGATAGTGGATAGTAGTCTTCCTTTTTTGGGGTGGCCATTTTGAAGAGGTATATTAATTGTAAACATTATTTGAATGGCACAGTGTGCTGTCTTTCAGCAGGTGATTAGAGAGGAAGTTACAGCATGGGTATTTGGAAATTGCCTGACTCTCTATGTATGGTAGTGCCATTTGGATGTCTTTAGTGTTCAAATCTGAAAGGAAATACTGATGAAAAAATTTATGGATTTAAAGCATGGCAATCACGCTGGACGTTAATCAGCTAATTATACTAGTGTATATACTATATATATGTTTATGTAGCTGTAATATACATGCATACTAGAGTACTGGTCATCTCACAGTTTTATTTTATAACTTTCTAGTGGTGACTTTTGTGACTGAAAGCAGGTATTTAAGCATCTTATAGAAAAGGTTGGATGAGTAGGATAATGAATTATGTCTGACAAATTAAGTCATTCTGAACTCAAAAAGAAACAGTTATGGTTGTGAAAATTTGTCAACCCTTTTTAAAATGTATATCTTTCTTATAAGGTGATAAATCAGCGACAGTCTTCAAAAAACATTTCATTCAAAATGACTTCCTGATCAGATTGGAGTAGCAGAGCTGCTATGTTTGCTTAGTGAAAGCAGCTACCTGGAGAAGAACGGTGAGGGTGGTTGGTGGTGCTGAGGCAGCAGGAGACATGAGAGGTGATGCTACTGCTTTCTGTGGCAGTCCCTGGCTTGCCTGCAGTACAGCAGTCATTCCCAACTCCCCATGGTCTCTCATCTCGGGACACCCTGCGGAGCTGTAACTTCTAGCCTGGCAGGCCATGATTTTCCTGTTTGTTCATCCAAGGGACTGCAAAGTGTACTTGATAGTTAGAATCACCCACTTTTCTCCTGTTCCATTGCTCCTTTAGACCTCTACAAAACTTTCCTTGGACCACTAAGAAAATTCATCACTTATGTTACACAGTAACCTATTTCTTTTTTAATAGATATGAGTTTGATGTATTGTCTTTGCCACCACACCTTTTGTTGGGTTCCTGTCACTTCTAGAAACAGTTTAGGAGGACCTAGTTTGTAAAGCCCTGTGTGATTTGGAACGTGGCTAAAGTTTTCTTTTCCTTACTCACCTTTGCTGAACTTCTGCATAACTTCTGCAGAAAAACCTTTAGATTTCACATTTTGTAATAGATTCTCTCATTCTTTATCATATTGAGTTGTAAATGAGTTGTGTGCTTTGTGAGGTGAAGTACTATTCAGCATGAATAAGAATGGCAACCCAGCTGCAAAGCTAATTTTACTGTTTTCTTTTGCACACATCCAAGCTTATAAATTCATAAATGCCACTTTGGAGTTCTTGGTATGCAGCAGTCTGGTGTATATTTGTCTAATATTTATTTTTATCTGGTTTATGTCAAGCATTGTTTCCTCTACAGTCAGTTGTGCCAAATGAAATGGTATTGTTTTATTGCTTTGTGTCTGTGTACTGAAGGTGCAAATATACAAGTAATCAGTGTTTGGGGATGGACCAATTTTAACAGCCTGCATTCAAAACTCAGAGAATAATGCAAAATAAATTCAGTGTCTAACCAATTCTCTTTCTTCTTTAAGTGTCTTCCCCTTCTGCAGGGACACATGCACCCTCGCAGACAGCCAGCATGTGACCTATTTGCCAATAACATCCTCTATGTTATTGAGGATAACATCCTCTATGATCTCTATTTTGTGGACTTGGAAGGATATAAAAGAGCCTTTGCTCTGCTAGGAATTGTATCTGAGTCAACAGTTAATTCATACTGGTCAGAGAAGTCAACTGGGAATTTTTCTTTTCTTTAGTTGAGAAATGTACAAATATCCTTTGTGAAAAAGCTTTCCCTGTGGAATTTAATTTTTATTCCTGAAAGTACCCATGCAGACGTTCCTGTAGACCTGTGTGAATGTTTGAGGGATATTTGTTTGCTGAAATATCTTGCCAGTTGAAACTAGTATCACAGCTATTTAACAATACTGCACTCTTTTCATGCAAGGGATTTATAGCAGGGACAGTCACTTCATGTATTTGATTACTGCTGGCTGTACCATGCACTAGCAAAATGCTCTGTTTTTTCCAAGCCCAAGACATTGGGAAATTTGTTCAGGATAGCTAGTGAGCAAACATATGCAGGTTTGATCATTAAGTGAAGCATGAATTGTTCATACAAATAGGGGAATAGAAGGTGAGGAGGAAGGGCGGTAGAGCATATTTGATTGAAGAACTGGGCTCTCTTTGCTACTGTTTTGTCTACTCGTCCATTGCCACTCTGAAGACTACACTTCTAATGAATTAACTGCTTGGATATGGCCTGTAATCCCCCTGAGCAATTATTTTAGCATCTGCCACAGCAGACTTAATTTGGCTAACAATTGCTATAGCTCTTTGTAGAATTAGTTCTGGTTCAACTAGTAATTACTCATATGTATGTGTGGTATAGAGACTTTTGCTACAAGCAGGTCTCCAGTCAGTTTGTGGGGCATGGCCTCTGTTATTGCCAATTCCCACATGCTTAATGTTGTGCTTATGCAAAGTCATCATCTATCAGTCAATGTATTCCCCTGTTTTCTGTATCTGTTGGCAAACTACAGATCCTTCTTTATCTAAATCATTTTAAATAGGGGAAAAAACCCACAGTTGAAGCTGAAATTGCACTGTTTTGCCAGCTTTCAGGACGGGAAAGCTTGTGAAATTTGCTTTGTCAATTTGGTGCAGGCTGGAAGTGCAAGGTTTGTCTCCTGATCTTCCTGTTAATAGCTAACCTGTACACGACTCCTTTCTCCCTCCTGCTTTTGGAGACTAGTGCTGTATGTCTCTATAGCTTTCCCTCCTCTGGACAGGATTTTTTTTATTCCCACTTGTTCAGGTGCTGGTTCACACATTCAGTGAGGAAAGAGCTGATGACTCAGTAACCCAATACATGCTGCAGTGTCCTAGCTTACTCTCTCCTTGTTCCACAATTAAGACTGATATAGTGCAGTAGGAACTGGAACACAGTCATACATGTGACCCTTGCTGACCCTGCTGCTTTGCTGACAACCGCTAGCAGAGCAGCAGATGTGGACAGTGGCAGTAGGGGAAGTTGTACAGTTACCTCAGCTGGATCCATCCGGGCTGCACACGACAGAGCTCTCAGCTGAACAAAGTCAAAGGAGAGTAACTAATAGAAGGGGAATTTCAAAAGCAGGTTAAATGGGAGAGCCACGAATTATCTTGATAAGACAAAGATTTCTACCAAGAATAGTTAGATGCTTCTTCATTACAGCTCTGTTGTAACAGACTTGAAAGCATATACATTTTCATTGACACCCAAGTAGTACATACAGAGAAGTACAGTCTAGCTATATAACGGGTTTAAGCATTTTGGACAAGGCAGAACATAATGTTGGTTTATGGAAGAAGAAATACCTGGAAAATTGTGTTATTTATGAATTTACGTTATTTTGATTTTATACTGCCTGTATTGACTCAAGAAGAGGTACAGTTAGTTTGCAGTTACCACCTTGCATAGTGAGGCATGCTTTTTTAAGGCATGTAGTAAAAATATGTTTATGTGAACATTGGTGCAGTTTGGAACTTACAATGCCAGTCATTTTACAATGATTTTTAATGGTACTTCTTTTGGGATGTAGGGCCCAAGTCTGCAAGGGAGGCAGCGATCACATCAGTCCCTTTTATGCCCAGCAAGAGCAATTCATCTGCCACTAGAACTGGAAAAGCCTTTCTAACAAAATATTTTCTTCTTTAGTGTTGTAAGAGGAGGACATGTGATGATGCAGAATGGGCCAGAAGGGATTGTGAGGAAGTAACCAAGGTATTTCCCTGTCTGTTGGAAACTTCCTTACACCCAGGTATCTAATTCAGTGTCTAGATGGAAGTGTCAACAGAGAAGAGTTCAGGGAGAATTCACTGATTAGATATCTAATTTAATTCAGAACTGCATGTTCTTACGTATAGCTTTGGTAAGGCTCTCATCACCTGCCTCCAGCTGGGATTTTTGTATTTGAATCTTTTAGCCTTGAGAGATCAGGGTTCAGGCTGTTTGCCAGAACACTTATGTAACGAAGGAAGTATAAAAATGAAAATTGTAGTCACCTGTTTAGTTATCATCTCTCCTCTTGATCAGAGGCCTGGCACGTCTAGTGATCAGGGATGCAGAGGTTTCTCTCCTGTAGCATATCAAGCAAAAATGAATCACATAGTTACCTTTTCATCTTTTCATAAACTTCACCCATTTCTTATCAAAGGGATGGGCTGCTAGAAGAATAACCTCTTGAACTTTCTTCCTGTAAATTTCTCACCTAATTGCCAGCCTGCTTCATTTGTTTAATGTAACAAATATATGGCAAACCACAGAACCCCATCAAGATAATTCCTTCCATTTTTCCTCTCCTTATTCAAAGCTTTGCCAGACAGAAGCACCATCCATACAACTTCCACAATGCCT